ATGAGCAGTAGGTAGAGTACATAGCGATTAATCTGCGGGTGAGTTCAAAATCAGCCATAGACCTAATACAATGAACGTGCTTGATATCCTCAATGGGAATCAGTAGGCCTTTTCTGATCTCCTGATGCTTATTGACGACCATGTCCTTCTTGGTGATTTCATCAACAGGATAATAATTGGTCATGGATAAGCTGGGTCTCGCTCAACCAACATTACTCTAGGTTCAAGCGGGATAACCTTGTCAATGCTGATTAAATGCAATAAGCGTTTGTGGGGGATTTGTAAGGTAATCTTAATGTCAACTATCCTTTGTTCACCCCCTTGATTACTGCCCCTTCAGACGCATAGAAAGGAATACCCTTTATAGCACTAACTGATTGAGGCAACATTTTTGTATTTCTTTCCGCCGTTGTGTAGGGCAGGGATAAGGCAGAGGATGGGTATTCCACTGTACAAGCGTATTCTTTTTTGATAAAGCTCATTGTTAATCAGAATCAAAGGGACCTCATAATTAAGCAGGGAGAGATAGCCTTGCTTCAAGTTAATGATCCATATATACTCAAGCATAAAGTGTTCACCAATGAGCAGATCATAGGTATTGGTAGCCAAGGCCACCGGGGGGCTGACTAGATAAGCTTCCCAAATTAGATGGGCAAAGAAAATTATGCCCCAATAGTGCATGAGTTGTAGGGACCAGAAGTATTAAACTATTGAGTGTAGTCGAGTTCAGGGGCCAACTTAATCATTTTGATGAGTTTGGATGAAACAACATTCACAGGGGATCCAGTGCCAAGGATAGTCATTACCTGTACTACGTTGATGACAAACTTCACTTTTATTAAAGTTCCACTTAAGTTGGGGGAAAGCGCTAGGACCTCCTTTAGCCGCAGAGTGGAAGTTAGTCTTTTGGCAGTCTTAGGGTAATTCTACTGGATATACTGCAGGGTGTGCACACTCTGGGTGATTAGACTAGTGAGGCAATGAGCGGACAGCGTCACTGACAGTACCAATAGCCTCCAGACCCCTCAACACTTGATGAAGATAAGTTCTAGGGGTATCCTAACCATATCCACTCTCTCAGGGTTCAACCTGTTGGGTACCTCCACTTCACCTGGGCTCCTAAAACATAATGACCTACATATTCACAACCCCCTTCAGATTTGTCATCAGAGGGTTATCAATTCACGTTAGGGGGCCAATAGAGTGTGAGGTAGGTTCAGGGCTTCCCTTATGATAGGATAGATCCTATGGTTGCTCCACCTTATTAGCTTTTTGGGGTAGGCGTTGGATTTTTAAGAGCTTTGATTCTGGCCTTAAATGTGACAGGTTTGATCTGCCCCATGACTGCAGGTTTTGAACTAGGGGCAGCCCAAGGTGAGATTGAGGGGAATTGAGACAGAAGCTTGGAGGGACGTGAAATTTGATCTACCTTAGTAGACCGCTCTGAAAGAAGAGGGGAACAAGGCAAAGTGATAACTGACTTAACCAGATGAGCTTTTAAAATTGACGCTTGAGGGGAGCGCTGCCCTGTCACTGACAGTAGAATTCTAGCTATCCTCACAATTTGGAGGAGCATCTCATCGCTTTAATATGGAAGCAAGGTCTCAGAGAGAGAGCCATAGAAGAGGAAGGAGGAGGGGTCAGAGTTGATTCTCACCTCGAGCCTTTTTGCATAAGTTAAAGTATACGAAAGTCAGCCACTGCTAGCAGAGACTCTTTGATATCCCATACTGTTTGAAAGATGCGCTTGACTGCAGAGAAATGCATTATTAAATTATATTGAGACGCCAAGTCATCCAATATAGCATCAATAAAATCATTTTGAGGTAGCAGTCTGAAAAGAAACAGAAGTTGAGCTTTACAATAGAATCGTTCAACAAAAAAGATAAATTTACCCACTTGCAAATTAAGGCACATAAAGGCCTGTTTTAGCCTTTGTAAACTCTTTGAGAAGTTAAATTCTTCAATGAGCGCTTATTTCACCTCTTTCCAGATGCTTAGTGTGGCCATGTTGGGAATCATTATCTCCTGAGCCATAGAACTCAAGCAGGAAAGGATACATTTGAGTTTTTTTGGTCAGTTGCTCCTTCCATCGCAGTTTCATAAACAATGAGGAAGGAGGCATTACTGCCCTCTCCTGTGGTAAACTTTTCCTTATAAGGGGATTTGAATGTTAGGGTAGGCTCCATAAAGGCCTTGAAAGGCGTGTTGCTCAAGCTTTATAAAGTCGATATGATGCATTAGCTAGCTTTTGTTCTATTGCAGCTAATCTGGACTCAGGTGAAGGGGGAAATTTGTGAGGGTTAATTTCCCACAAACCTCCATTTTTTACTAAGATTTTTGTGGTATACAGGTCTCCTGTAGTGAGCATTACTTGTCAAAATCCTGGTGGTTGCTAATGCATGTTGGTGCTAATTGAACAGTACTAGACATTTTAGAAGAAACAGGAGTATCAAAACTCTAAACTGCTCTTTAAAACTTGGGATATTTAGTACTTAGTGAAGAATAAAATATAAGAGATTAGATACTAGGAAAAAAGGGGTTCATAATTATATATGTCTAATAGTGATTGTTGCTGGTAAAAAGTGAACCCCTAATAACTCACGGCTTAGTAATTGAGCAATACAGGCTTGATATGAGTTGAGCAAAAAACTATTATAAACTTTGAGATCTAATTAGAGAACATGGATTTCTGACCTATCAGAGCTCAAAAAAATCACCTTGCTTCAAATTGACGAAATAAGAAGGGTTAAGCCAGGTAAGATGAACCCACGAGGCAAGGATTGAATATATTTGGGCCAATAAAATAGTGGGAATTTTTTCACTTAATGGGATTTCCAAATGACACCCTGATTCTGCTGCGGATTTGGTGCAACACTATTACTAACCTTAGACCTGTTTGGCCAAGGAGTGGGGGAATTATTATTACCCCCAATTTGAGGGTTCAGTAAAGATTAACCAGAGTTTTTTGGTCGATACTATTCTTATATAAAATTAAATTACTCTTATTGGAATATTGATAGGTAATTGACACTATTTTAAGAATTCAGTATTTCAGGGGTTGAACATTATTTTAGATATAGCTTACTAATAAATTTGAACTAACTTTTTTAATATAAAATTCTATGACTGAACTCATCATTATTTTAAAAAAGTCTCCAGAAGTACATAACCATCAGAAATTTTCCTCAGCAACTCATAATTTGTTGCTCTTATCAAACCATTGCTTACCCTTTTTGTTTGGCGCTTTGCTTGTGCAAATTTTTTGTACATATTTTACTTGGGGGCTATTCCAGGTATCATTAATTTCAAATGAATATGATCCTAGTTAATTCTACTGTTGAAAGGGAATTTGAGCTTAATTCTCTGTAATGTACCTTAATTAAATTCAGAAGAAAGATGTTATAAATTTTCACATAGTGTATTTTTAAACTCAGAGATGATTGTAGGCTTCACATTGGTAGTTTTTTATGAGTTGAGGTAGTGTTGTGATTTTTGCCCACATTAACCACATTTATCGATTGCAATTAACCTGCTGGTCCACTAGGGGATCCATCCAACTAGTAGATTTTGAAGTTATCACTTACTTATATGATAACTATTATTTGGAGAAATATTCCAGCAAATATATATTAATCTACCAAATTACAATCTTCCAGATTGATGAGTGCTTCATTGGGGATGATCCTCAACAATAAACAAGCGATTAGCGGGTCAAAACAAATATTGTTGACATAATGGACTTGTAAGAGTCAATCAGGTTAAGTTGGCAATTGGCTAAGGGGTTTGTGAGTTGCTGACAAGTAATGCCACCTGCCATAAGCAACTTTTGAGTTACCATTTTTCTGGATTGAAATCTGCTGTATATGGGTAATAGTCCCATTACCTAAGCAGGTTTTTACCAGATAAGGGTAGATTTGATGGGAGCATATCTAAGAAGTTGGGACACATTCTTGTTTCAACTAAGAAGAGGTCGCAGTTGAGTAGGGAAAAGAACCTGAGTATATTCAATGAGAAAGATCATTGTTTCACATGACCCTTAGATGTTAAGTTATTGACAACGGCCATCGTTACTGATTGGGGTGCCAACTGAAAAGTTGTGCACCAATTTCCCTATAAAAAGCCCCTTGACTTCTTATATAAAGCGGATAAAATTTAGAATTAATGGTATATAAAATTATTCATATTTTTCATAATTTAGACTGTTTTCTATTGAAATTTCAGATAGAGGACAAGAAGATCCTTTGTCTAAAAAATCGTTGATCTCCACAGCCTCAGCGTGAGGATAAGGAAGAAGGACCTCTGAACCTTACCCTAGGTTAAGTTATAACAGATGGAGTAGGGAAGAGTCCCTACCATTTCCAGAAAAATTAACACTAGGTCAAGCACGAGTTTGCCGTTGAACCTAATCACTAAATTGGCTATCAGCTAACTAGAATAGTTGTCTTCATACTACTATATCCTATTATATCATCTTTTTAAATTAAACAACGTGCATACAAAAAAGTGTGCAGTTGGCAAGGGAGCCAAAGTGAGTATTATTCAGAATGAGAAATCAAATCCTGAACTTTATCATCTGGTAAACACTTGAGGTTCAAATCTAAAGATTTTCAACAAGTGGAAACCAGTGAAGGAAAGCAGATACCCATCTCTCATCCAGGGTGTGCCTAAGTTAGTGATCTAGGAACAAATCAAGGCCCTATAATTGGTGAATTTTAGTCCTAAAATGATGCAAGGGCCATTCAGCTTGATAGCCGCGGCCATGAACCTTACAAATTGATATTTTTATTTTTATTTAACTGAGGCAAGCCGACCAGGGGACAGGCATTACCAAAAGAAAGAAACATCATGAAACCTGAACAGGGTCAACTCTGTCAAAGAAAGTTTTTCCACCTCCGGATTGGGACTCAAATTTTTCTGGTTACATCATGGGTAAGGTTTTCGTGTTATTAGACCTACTAACCGCCAATAGCTTCCTTTGTCTGGCACCCTGATCAATGTGCAAAGGGCGGGAATCGAACCCACAACCTTCAGGTTGGTAGCCATACGCCCTACCGATATGCCTACCAGCCCCCTTACAAATTGATATTGAATCTATTCAAAGAACTTCATCTACAATTGAATATGTGAGCAGACGCTTATGAGCAGGTGCACAATAGTGTTAAAAGTATTTGTAGGATTGACAGCCATATAATAATTAGACACCATGAAATATTCTATGACTATGTTTAGTAATGTGAGTAGGGCTCTTAAGTTGCTCAGCAACACCAATAACACGCTCCTACTTAAATTAATCTCTTTCTGCTAAGCATCACTTTTTGAAAATCAATTCAGCCTGAAATTTAGCTCTCCTAAAGAGATTTATGAAAACTATTAGCAAATATGGCGGAAAACCCCGCAAAAGAACCTGCAGGCTATGCCAAACGAGCCAGCACCACCCTCAAACGAAGCAACCCTCGGTTACCCACCTCAGGGTCAACCAGAATCACCCGCTCTCAAGCAGCAGCCATGAAAGCAGGCACCACCCCCCAACCTGGAGCTACTTCAACTAGCGCCAGTTCACCTGATTACACTTCTGCAACCTGCATGCCTAACAGCTCTGTGTGCGCTGCCTCCCACCAACCCGCTGGGCCCCCTCCAACCAAGGAGGCCATCACCCACACTGTTTTAATGGCGTCTGCTCAGTTGAATGCAACTCAGCCCATCCAGGCATTCACCTCCCCTATTGTGTCAGCTAATTCAGCCCCATCTAGTATTGCTGACGCCGTGTTTCTGGCTCCCTCCATGAGGGGTGATACCCAGCTACCTGGCCCCCAAACCCTCAGATGTAAGGTTGGATTAGCCGCACATTCTGGTTCACTAAGCAACAAATTGGGACAATCTACTCTTCCCAATGAGGATTCAAATGGTTCGGATTCTGGAATTTCACACCAGTTCCAATCTCACCCATCCCATTTAAACCCCGTAATTGGCACTTCTCAAGTTGGCACTTTATCTCCTTATGCTGAAAACGACTAATTCACTAATCAGCCAGTGAGTTTTGCCCATGATATCACAGCAAATACTCGGGCTGAATTTACCCAAATAGATTGGGATGGTGATGAAACATCGCCCTCCTCCCAATTGGCTGGAGTTAATTCCAATCTGGATGGGCCTCCCCAATTTAGCGAGGCCCAACAAACTGCCCCTCAATTTAATATGATGCCAGCAACTGCTGTAACATTACAGCAACAAGGGAACTCCACAAACTTGTCCAAACCACCAGCTCACACTTAACCCGCAATTGCAGCCCAAAGAAAACACAAACGTACAAAAGTAGCCACTGGGGCGTGGCAAAAACCTCTGGCACCAACGTTACCCAAAGCTGATCCCCGTGAAGTGGCGCTTATTGCTGATGTTAAGAAGAAATGGGCCGAAACTAGAGCACAAAAAGCTCTACCTCGCTCAACCCTCTCCCATGCAATTTGCCTTTATTATGGGCATAACCATGTTGAATTCTATACAGAGGATTACTTGTCATACTTTGCAGCGATTGCGGAGACATTCCCAATTTAACACCACCATCCATGAATCAGTGGAGGTCCACTACATCGATGTGGGCTTCACTGAAGCTGCCCTTGCTGACCATGCTGCCGCCCTCCAGGTCATTATTACATGTGGATCTCTTCGCATCTCCCGCACACGCTCTCACCTGGAGAAAATTTCATGGGTTACTTTTTTTAACCTACCAACGACTGTTGATCCTAAGTCTCAAAAACTGGCACTCCATCGTGGTTTAATGGAGTTTGGGTCTGTTCTTTCAGTGGACTTTAGCGTCTCCTCTTACTATGCTCCCACTCAAAGAGCTCGCACTGCTAGAGCGTCATTCATCCCCTCCCCCACTGTATCCCGCAACATTGAGGTTATTACTTGTGTGGCGGTAGTTGGGGCATGCCCTGAGATTTTTTTGTCAACCCTGATCAGGCGCGCCCCGGTGTTCATGGTGTAACGCCCTTGGACACTTGTATAGTGGCTGCACAGCTCGAAAACAAGCCCTCTTAGCCACCACCCAGGGGCCTAAACCAGGCCAAAAACAATCCCACGTGGCTGCAGCAGCAATTCTTCAACCCACACAATGGGTTACCATTCAAGACCTGTCCCCTGAGGCCTTACGCCTAGCAGTTGAAACAGCTAACCCCAATATTGGTATGGGATACCTTCGCGCTCATGCCCCCCTTCCAGTGGGCACCCCCTCCAATCTCCCTGAGTCAACTTCCTCTCTCACCAAGCGCAAGGCATCTCCCACAGGGTGCCCCTCGTCAGCCACCCCCACTCAGGGCTCCGCGGCACCCCCACCAACCTCCACCAGCGATTTATCGCATCAATCCCTCAGCTCCCAATGGAGCTATGCCCACCAGCATGGACTGGCAACCCGCGGCCTACGGTAGAAGTGTTACCTCAAAGAGTACTACCCCAACCCCACAGTCCATTTCGCGCGGATCCTTTGCAGTGTTGGAGGAAGCGTATATGGACTTAGACTCATCAAATGGGGACACCGCGGAGGTCACCATTGAGCACCCTCAGGTCCTTCCACTGCAACGGAGCGGGGGCAGCATCCTAGGCTGGCTTACTGGGTCCTCCGCCCCCCCACCCTCTCCTTCCCCTCAGAACCCTCGACGCTCCTCACAGATTGCAGCTAATAGTCAAGCTAAAGGACTCAAAACTAGCCGCCTCACAGCAGCAGGTTAAAGCGCTGGCAACCCCCCAGGACATGGAGGGGAACAGCTATGATTCCCCATGGCAGCACCCTGGCCCTGCAATCCATCAATGCAAATGGGTTGCGGGACTTTAAGCGGAGAGCCCGCCTCCTCCGAAACTTCAGGTCAGCACAAATTGACATCGCTGCTGTCCAGGAGCCCCATATCCTCCCCCACGAACAATCTTCATGGAATGAACAGTTTGGAGGAAACTCTTTTTGGACAAACCATGCCGCCCTTATTGTTTTGAATCCCCGGGTTAAAACCCATTCTTTTCACAATATCTAGGTGGCCGCCTCATACTGGCCAAACTCACCACTCCTGACTTCTCCTTCTTCGCTGCAAGCATCTACCTGCCTAATGCAGGTCAGGAGCAAAATCGAAGCTTGGAAGAGCTCGTCCAACTCAATCTCCCACGGAATACAGTCCTCTTAGGAGATTTCAACACAACCATAAGTCGCGTCCATGACTCTTAACCCCCTGCAGCAAAGGAACGCCCTGGATCAAGTCGCCTCCAGAATTTCCTTCGCCTGAGTGGCTTTATAGATGCGCTTCCACCCTCCGCGTCTGGCTTAGGTTGCATGACTAGGATCCAGTATGATGGAGGAGCTTTCCAGTCAACGTCACGCATAGATATGGCACTGATTGGCCCCCTGCTAATTGGCCGCGTCTCCTCTCCCATCTCTCGTGACAACCATCTGAGTGATCACAGGTCACTCACCGTTGTCCTCACCATCACACTTAGACCGTCGCGTAGGTTCTGGCCTAGGGTTGCCCCAGCTCTTCTCAACAACCCCTTCACTAAGGAGAAGCTGTCTATGACCATCCGGGAGACTCTCACCTCCCCCCACCCCACTTGCTTGACCACAAGGCTAGATGGGAGGTGACCAAGGAGGGCATCACCCGCGTTGCTTACAACTATGCCAAAGCCCAGATGACTGCAGCTCGCGTCAGAGTCAAAAGGGCGGAAGCCAGAATCAGACATCTAGAGCGAAACTGCCAGCCTTCGCCCTCTCCCAGATGGTTGGAAGACTGGGAAGCGGCGCAGGAAGCACTCCGCTTGGAGCTCACACTGCAGGAAGAACGGGCAGCAAACTTTACAACATCTCGTTACTATGCTCAATGGGAACGCCCCACCCGCTTCTTCTTTCATAAACAGAAAGCCCAGTCAACAGCGCAGGATATTACTGCACTGAAGATTGGCACTACAACCACTTCAGATAAGGAGGAAATCACGCAGGTACTACACCGCTTCTAGTCCAGCTTCTTCCATGCCACCCAGGTGGACCCATCGGACATCCAAGACTTCCTGTGGCGGGCTCCAGAGCCGCCCATTGACCCACGGGCTGATGAGGCTCTACTGGCGCCTATTTCCATCCAGGAGGTGATGGAAACCCTTCTGAAATCCCCACGGCTTAAAGCCCCAGGCCCAGATGGAATACCCTTTGAGGTGTACCTTCTGGAATCTGCAGTGATAGCCAGAATTCTCCGCGACCTCTTCGCTGCACTCTTGGTGAATGGCGAGGTCCTCCCCGACTCCAGAGGCTCAATCACGACCCTCATTCACAAGAAGTCAGACCGTGAGAACCTGGCGAACTGGCGCCCCATAGCGTTGATCAACACAGACCACAAGCTCTTCACAAAGCTTCTGGCCAACCGCATTACCTGATGGGTGTCACCTCGCCTCTCCCTATCCCAGCACGGTTTTATTCCGGGGAGGTCGTTATGGGACAACTATAATGACCTTCACGTGACTTTGACTGCTAACTCTCGTAAGGTGAATGGCTTTGTGGCTCTCCTGGATATGGAGAAAGCATATGATCGGGTATCCTGGAAGTATATTGATGCTTCCCTGGCCCGCTTCCATCTCCACCCGCAGCTAGGCGCTGGATATCAGCGCTCTATGACCAGCTCCACACCAGAGTCCTGGCGCAAATGGGTTTTACAGTGGCAGTACCAGTTGGACAAGGTCTCCGGCAAGGGGACCCCCTGAGCCCTATCCTTTTTAACATCACCCTCGACCCCCTCTTGGCCTACTTATAGGACAAGCTAACAGGGATTCTGGTCCCAGGTAAAGCCCCCACACGCATCATGGCATTTGCAGATGACACCGCCATTGCATTTGGATGCCCTGGGGATGTTGCCCTCGCTGCTGTGACCATTAAGAGGTACACCAAGGCGTCCAACGCCATGGTCAACACCTCCAAGACAACAGTTGTACAGGTCGGCTCCCCCACCTTCCCCCCACCATTTGGTATTGAACCTGAGCGCGGTACCTTCCGTCACCTGGGCGTTCTCACCAACCAACAAGGAGTTGCGCTAAAAGACAATGAAGACTTGCTC